AATGCTGCTGCTGCTGCTGCTGCTGCTGCGGCTGCTGCTGCAGCGGCGGCAGCAAATTGTGCGCGTAAACCACAGAGGCGCTGCCCTTTGCTATAAAAGGATGCCTCAAAGCTTCCAAGACGGAGAGCCTTTTGGCTGGGTCTGGCTTGAGCAGCTGCAGCACGAAGTCGACAGCAGCAGCAGACAAGCGGCTGCCGTTCTTCTGCTGCAGCAGCCCGCACAGCTGCTGCTGCTGCTCCGAAGCCAGCATTGCCCAGCCCTCGTCAGAAGCCTGAGCCCTTCGGAACAGCTGCTGCTTCGTCAGGCAGTAGTAAAGCATCCAGCCCAGGCAGAAGCTGTCCACCTTGAAGGGGTCGTACCTGCAGCAGCAGCAGCAGCAGCAGCAGCAGCGGCAGTGGAGGCGATGGCGTCAGCGGCGACAGCAGGGGCGCAGCCGCTGCAGCAAGCGAAGCAAGAAACGCCCGCCCAGCGGCAGCAGCAGCAACAGAAGCAGCAGCAGCCTCATCAGCATCGCCGGCAGCAGCAGCAGCACCAGATTAAACAGCTCCAGCAGCACCAGCACCATCAGCAGCAGCAGCACAAGCAGTGCCGTCCAGCAGCAGAAAAATCACGAGCAGCAGCACCAAAGAAGCCCCACCAGAACACTGTGGCCAAGCAGCACCAGCATGAACAGCAGCAGCAGCAGCAGCAGCCCAACGGCAGCAGCACAGCAACAGCACCACAAGCACAACAGCAGCAGCAGCGGTATCAGCCCAGCACCGGCAGCAGGACCACCACCACGACACCCACCACAACCACCACCAGCACAACAGCAGCAGCAGCAGCAGCAGCAGCGGCAGCGCACGGCTTGCGGGTGTAGACCTCCGGGGGCCTGAAGCTTTTGCCGAAGAGCTTGTTGGGGGGCAGCAGCACTTTGGGAGGGCTGAGGCGTTCTGCTGCTGCTTCTGGAGCCAGGGCTTTGGCCACAATGAGGCTGGTGTCTCTGATGGCTGCGGGTTTGAGGCCGTCGAGGCTGTCCTGCTGCTGCTGCTGCTGCTGCTGCTGCTCTGCAGCAGCAAGTGCAGCAGCAGTGCGCGCAGGCAAGGCCACCACTGCCTGCCCAGGGTCTGTCAGGCAAGGCACGATGGCCCCCGTTTGCTCGCACCGGAATATCAGCACGTTTTCCAGCGACAAATCTGAGCGGAACACCCAAGGGTTTAGGGTTTAGGGTTTAGGGTTTAGGGTTTGGCGTTTGGCGCCCAACGCTGCTGCATTGGGAACGCCGAGAAAGGCATGCAAGGTGCTACATTAGGGTTTCGGGTTTAGGGTTTTAGACGGCAGGGTCCGGCGGCTAGGGTTTAGGGTTTAGAGTGCAGGGTCTAGGGTTTAGAGTTTAGGGTTTAGGGTTTAGGGTTAAGGGTTTATTTAGGGTTGCGGACCCCTCATTGCGACTCCCCGCCTGTGCAGGAACAGTACTGCGTCCAACAGCTGACGGCCTATCCAGCGCACCTGAGCAAAAACACCCCAAACCCTAAACCCTAAACCCTAAACCCTAAACCCTAAACCATAAACCCTAAACCCTAAAC